CTGGGTGCTGGCAGGCTTGCACCTGGCACGGGCACTGTAGCCAGCCCGTGCCCCTTTAAGGGCTCCGGGGCCGGAAGGGGGGCATACAAGATTCCCTGGTGGTGCCCAGAGTGGCCACCAGGGAAAGCTGGGGAGGGCTAGCCTCCCACTAGTTCAAATTAAGGGGCTACACAGCCCTTATTTCGAACTAGTAAGTTCGAACTAGGCTTAGTCCTCGTGCAGTGAGGTTTACCTAGTTCGAACTAAGCGCTCCGCTAGTTCGAATTAAGTTCGAACTAGCGGAGCGCTAGTGTAGCGCCTATGAAAGTTAATTTGAACTAACATCCGTTAGTTGGAATTAACTTTGTAGTGTAGACATACCCTAATTGTGGCTGGGGCACTTTTGGAAAGAATTGGTAAAGAGAGTCCAGAGGAGAGCAATAAAAATGATCAACACATGACCAAAGGTTGAGAGAACCTGACCTGGGGGAAAGGTTTAAAAGATTGGCTTGTTTGATGGCTTGGGGAAAGACAACTTGTAGGGGAACTGATGCCAGTCTTTGAATACATGAAGGACTGTTGTAAAGAACATGGTGATCAACTGTTCTGTGTCCACTGAAAACAGGACAAGTAGTAATGAGCTTAATCTACAGCAAGGGGGAGGTTAAATATCAGGACAAACTTTCTAACTCGCAGGGGATGAATCTCTGGAGCAGGCCTCCAGAGGAGATTGTGGGATCCCTGTCAATGGAGGCTCAGATCAAGATGGACAAACACCTATCAGAGGCTGCTGCTTCAACTGTGGGGCTGGCTTGGTGGGTTTTTCAGGTCCCTTCTATCTATGCAAAAAGTTAGGGCAGCACTGGTCAGACATCAGCCATTGAAGCAAGACTGTGGCAAATGAAAAGGCTTCGTCCATCTTGGGTATTTGAAAAAAAAAAAATCCTCAGACCCAGGGGACTCACTTCCCCTTTTTTCTTTGGTGTGTAAATCATTGCTTTAAATCCAGTCCATGTAACTAAGCGTCCTTGAAACATCTGATAGCTTCGCACATGGGTAAACGAACAGTCCACCTCAGCACCGTTTTTTAATTTTCCCCATGTTGGCCAATGATAACTCAGTCAATTTCACTCTTGTATCTAACTGGTTTCTACTCTTTTTTTTTTTTTTTTCTGGTTCACTAGCCCAGGGTTGTAAGGCTGGGTTCCATGCATCACCCCAGCATCACATATTTTGGTTTTCATAGAAATTTTTTTTCAATTGCAAATATTTTGTGTGATCGCCTACTGTGAATAAGCGAACACTGCAGCGAGATGGAAGGGCTGCTTCAAACTGTTACAGGTGGAGAAGGTCTTGCCGTCTTCCCCTCCCCCTTCCATTCTTTGCACAGAAGCGGGACAGGGTTTTAATTTGAGTGAATGCTCCGATTCTGTAGCATCAAGAATTCTGGAACCTTGGCCTGTGTGCAGCTGCCAGGAGTGCACCAGAGGCGCCCATGTAAAAGTGAAGAGTGGGAGGTGGCAGGCAAAGGTCAGGGGTGAAGTGCTAGTGTGCCCCAAGGAAAGGTCAGCACCATGTGTGATGAAGTGGGGGGTTTATTCACCTAGTGATGTTGCATGTGAGTTTTACTGTCCTATACTAACTAGCAGGAGGTGTGTGCCTTAGTTTCCCTGCTGCACCAAAGCCTAGATCGTAATGGGAATTCATGTGACTTCTAGTGAGGGAGGCTGCCTAGCTGCCTGCACATAAACAATGGCCTTGGGACATGTGCCACCTTTTGCGCAGAAAGCTGGACAAAGGCTGGAGCAGTCTGGGGCCAGGCAGCTGGAAGTGAGACACTGCTGGCTTGGAGGGGGGGAGGAGGCACAAATGCTGGCTTGGAGGGGCGGGGGGGGGGGAACAAGATAGAAGCATAGAATGTTCCTGTTTTCTGTGCTAAGTTCTGTCCTATGTGGTGTCCCGGTCACCACCTGTTGGCTCAGTCTCTGCTGACTGTGGATGGGGGGGGGGTGACCCTCCCTTACATCTGTGGCACCAGCTGGGGCAGAAGGGAGAGTTGCTGCTACCTCCCTGCTCCTCATAGAACCATAGAGCTGGAAGAGACCTCAGAAGGCCATCAAGTCCAGCCCCCTGCTC